CCACCACCAGGGCATGGGGCCCAGGGCCACGGGAGCCACATGGAGCTTTACCTTGAGGACGAAGCCATCAGGACACGCGCGGTCATACTTGTACACCTTGTAGACGACCAGGAAGACGACACAGGTGAGAAAGGCCAGGGCGAAGAGGACCAGCACCGAGACCTGCGGGCAGAGGCCGGGGTGTCAGCGGAGGCTCGGGGGAGCACACGGACTGGCTGACGGGGTGGATGGACAGTCACCGAGTGACAGATGATGGAGCACAGAGACGGACGGATGACAGACACAGACTGACACACAGTTACCAATGGACGGACAGACACACACAGACACGGGCACACGCACACAGACAGTTACAGACGGACAGACCTACAGATGGACATACACAGACCAATACAGACAAAAACATGGACGCAGACGGGAGTGGAGACAACAGACCGCTGAGGATGCAAATTCACACGGACACAGACAGACAGAAGCACACACGCATAAGGAGAGACCATCTGTGAAAGGAGGCACAAAACACAGAACCCGAAAGCCTCAAAAGCATCCACAAAATGCCAACCCAAAGCCCCACTGCTGTCGCCTCCGACTTGGGGCGGCCCCCGTGTTTCTCAGGAGAACTGGGGTTCAAAGGGTCCCCAGCGGCTGAGCTTTCACAAGTAGATCACGAGGCCTTTCCTGCAAGACCTCTGTGGGTAGGGCTCGAGCTGCCAACCTTTTACTCAGCAGCTGAGCATATTAACCGTTTGCACCACCCAGTGCCTCCTAGAATTATCTTAAGACCAGCAATTCTGCTCCAGATACATGCCCCAAAGACTTAAAAACAGGGACTCAGAGACTGGTGCCCAGATGTTCACTGGAGCACGATCCACAGTAGCCAAAAGGTGGAAACAGCCTAATGCCCGTCAACAGATGAACAAAATGTGCTAAACACACATATGGGAATAGTACTCAGCCCTGAAGAGGAATGAAGGCCTAAAGCATGCCCCACAGATGAGCCTTGAAAACATCATGCTGAGCAAACAGTCACAAAAGAACCAACGCCCCCACGCACATGAAATACTGAGGACAGACACGTGGGTAAGACAGCAGATGGTGGCTCCTGGGGGCAGGGAGGAGGGGCACCGGGCAGCAGTGCTTCACGGTGCAGGTTTCTGTGGGGGAATGAAAACCTGGGAACAAAGAGTGGTGATGGTCACAACATGGTGAATGCAATCAGTGTCACGGAACCGTGCCCTTAAAATGGTCAACACGGCACGTACGACAGGACATACATTTTACCACAAGATCAGAAAATAACATAAAGTTGGAACCCAGAGAGGCCTCTAGGCTGAGAGAATAACTTTTGTGGGGACACGGGGACAACAGCCTCACCCCCTCTCTCAGGGCAGAAAGCCTCCAATTTGCTTGGCCCTGGACACTGTTTGAGGCAGGCTTACCACAGCCTTGAGGGCCCAGAGTACCCCGGGCTCAATCACAGCTCCAGCACTCGGCTGAGGCCACGACCAAGTGGCCTCGCCACCTGCCCTGGATGCTGCAGAGAGCGGGGAACAGGAGACTGGGGACGAAAGAGGGTCTGCGTTTGCGAGAGGAAGCCCACAGTTGCCCCAGGAGACGCCGCCGCTGGAGGAGCAGCTCCCACGGGCGGGTTCTGAATGACACCTCACCGGCCCGCAAAGCGGGTGCCGGGCAGCACCAGGCCCAGCTCTGAGCCCACTGCTGGTGGCTTCGGGCAAGTCACTTAGCTCCTCTGTGCGGCAGGTGGCAGCGCTGGGCTCTAACGCCAGGCAGCCGACCCCCAGCCAGCCTGGGCTGCTGTCCCCCCTGAATCCATCCCTCCTGCCGGCTGTCCCTGTAGGCTTCCCAGGGTCTCTCCGCAGGTGAAACTCAAAGGACTGCCTGTCCACGGTGATGCAACATCACCGACTTCCCCGGTGACCCTGTGCGCCCACCACGCTGTGAGCTGCATTGCCTCAGCCGACTCACGGTGACCTCATGTACAGCAGAGAGAGGTGTCACCCGTCCTGCACCTGCTTCATGGTCCTCGGCATGTTTTGAGTCCGCAGCTGTGGCCAGTGTGTCAGCCCATCTCGTGGAGGGAGTCCTCTCATGTTCGCCGACCCTTGACTTGAGCACACATATGGCCTCCCATAGCAACTGGTCTTTCCTGATGACCGAAGTCAAAGTCCCACCATCCGTGCTTCTACAAAGCATTCGTGGCGCCCACCATGGGTGACCCTGCTGGTATCTCACATCCCAGCGGCACAGCTTCCAGCAACACACAAGCCACCAGAGTAAGACCATCGACAGAGAAATTGTTAGGGTGACAGTGGTGTGCCATCTATCGTGACTCATAGTGCTATCGATCCCAGGGGACACAGCAGAACGGCCCATGGGGATCCCTCATCGTAACCTTTACAGATGCAGCTGCAGGTCTTTTCTCCCGTGGAGCAGCTGCTGGGTTCGAACTGCCCACCTTTCAGTTAGCAGCCGAGTGCTTCACTTGTGCGCCACCAGGGCTCACTGACAGACGGATGGTGGCGTTCTGTGTTCTGAGATACGGTCTGGCACGAGGCAGGCTAGGGAGCCCTGCTACAGGGTGGCATCAGGCCCTGGGGAGCCAGGCGTCTGCCAAGCCTGCCCTTAAACATGGAAGCTGTGTGGAGTGGGGATCACAGCACCCCATCTGCTTCAGGTTAAAAATAGCCCCCAGCTCTCTCGGCAGGGCTGCGGGGAAACCGCTTCCCGCGGGGGCTTCCTCCTGGAACCTCGCCTGGGACACTCATCCAGGATTCCCAGGCCTGACGAACCGAGAAATGAGAACACAGCAGTCCCGGAATAAGCAGGGAGACGGCAAAGCCATCAATCCAGGAAGGCAGACAGCAGCCTGGCCAAGCCCTGCCTGGCTGGCTCCCTGGCTGCACCGTGAGGGGGACAGAGGGTGGCCAGGAACCCTGGGCCCCTGCATGCCGTGAGAGGCCAGGCAACCTGCTCAAGGTCCCACAGTTGGCAGGGGACAAATTCTGAGCCAGTTCGGGATCTTTCTTGGGAAAGTTCCGTGGTTCTCCCCTCAGGCCCCATCAGACTTTAATAACCACAGAGGGGACGCCATGGCTCATGGTGAGTTTAACTCAGCACTGCTAGGCACTTCCCAGGTCTGACCTGGGCACATGTCTCACCTATGAGGTGGAGGAGCAAGGTCTTACACCCTCACACGTCTACCAGAAGAGACGGATGGGGCAGCGGCTTGAGAGCGTGTCAGCAGACATGCTGGGCCCCAAAGGGGTGGCGGTAGCTGAATTGGCGCCCAACTCACAGCGACCCCACGTCCATGGCTCTGATCTTTAGGGAAGCAGGCAGCCAGACCATTTTACTGCCGTGCCACCAGGTGGATTTCAATAGCTAATCTTTGGGTTAGGAGTTGATCACAAACTGTTTGTGCCACCCAGCTTCCTTGGGCCCCAAAGACTAGAACTCTTTTAGGGGGCCCCAGGACCAGCTCACCTGCCCTGAAGATACTCTCTTTCTCTCTCTCTCTCTGCTGTGGTTCCTGTCCTGCCCCATGCTGCCAGGCGGCTGCCCCTTACCTGCCAGCGCCCAGGGCCAGCTCTACTGCCTCCAGGCACCCTCTCTGGATCACCCCTGGACGCCTACTGTGCATAGATGCACCATGTAACCCAGCATCCATCTTCTACATCAACTCAAAAGTGTGTCCTGTCCTAGAGACCTTTAGGACCCTGCCTGAGACAACGAGAGAGAGTCCAGAACAAAGGGTGGAAGTCCTGAGCCAGACAGAGGCGTTTCCCTAGGCCTCTGCATGTCTTTCGGCGTCCCTCTGACACACTACTCTGAGCGTCCTCTGCAACCAAATTCTGGCCAGTCAGTCCCGACTCGCGGCAACCCCACGCAGGTCCCAGCAGAACTACGCTGCACAGGGTTTTCCGTGGCCATCACCTTTATGGGAAGGAGCCCTGGTGGCACAGTGGGTAAGCACTCAGCTGCTAACTGAAAAGTCCACAGTTTGAGCCCCCCAGAAAAGACCTGGTGATCTGCTCCCATAAAGATTAGACCAAAAAACCAAACCCACTGCCCTCGAATCCATTCCAACTCATAGCAGCCCTGTGGAACAGAGTAGAACTGTCCAATAGGGTTTCCAAGGCTGTAAGTGTCCACGGAAGCTGATCACCATAGCTCTTCCCCGAGGAATGGCTGGTGGGTTCAAGCCACTAACCTTTTGTTTCACATCCAAGTGCTTTAACCACTGCACCACCACTGCTCCCTATCAAGTTACCCTGTCCTACAGAGCTGCTCTGAGTCAGAACCACTCAGCACACAACAGCCTTCAAGCCAACAGGTCACCGGGCCCTTCTTCTGTGCACCAGTGGACAGGTTCGAACCACAAACCTTTAGGTTAGTACCTGAGCACAAACCACACCACTGAGGGGCCTTGACAGCTACAATGCTGTCATAAATCTCAACAGGCATTTCCTGACAGCGGCCAGAAACGGGCCTGAGAATCCCCAGCACACTACCCAGC